ACGATCCCCCCCTCCCGATGTCCCGAATATCGTGACCGTACGTCGAGCGGTTAAGATTTGTGCCCAACTGTTGACGGACGCACGCACGGACGATCATGCGATTCTACAAGCTGCATCTGACTTCGTCAGATGAGCTAAAAATGATGGTATATAAAGAAGAAATGTATTGACTACCAAATTCTGAATTTTTATGTATTCCCTATTGACGGCCCAATCCTAGTTTAGCACCATGTAATGTCTTTGATGTATCGGCATATTATTATTATACTGACTGTGTGAAGTTTGAAATAAAGATAGTAAACCATATCTAAATCTTTTTGAATCCGTTTGTGAACAACACACACCCCCGATTAGTTTAGAACTATTGCGAAAACACATTTGTGAGGTACCAAACCACAAGCAGTTTAAACGTTTCAATAGTAAAATGATAGTAAATAAACACAAAATGTATTTACTACGAAAGTTTCAATGTTTCTCTACTCACTTTCACCTATTATTAGTAATAACTTCCTATAATATGTAACTAAATAAATGCTCCTCTGCAACATGCACTTACATCACACGAACGCCACTCGCACTGTGCACAAGCAACTGACTGAACAGTGCCAATACAAATATATTCTCTTAGTTTCTCTATAATTTGTTGTTCCAATGTTTGTGCACAGTGGCGTGTGTCCAGGGTAGTGCATGTTACGGAGAACATTTGAACGGCACTAGTAAATACATTGAGTTTATTTACCATCATTTTGTTATTGAAACGTTCCAAGTCAACACTCAGTGACTCAGTGTCACTGTCACTGTCAGTGACTCACGCCGTCGCGAGTCACAACGCAGTGCGCAAATAAATAATAAAACGTCGAATTTACTAGGATTAATTGGTTATGCGTTACTAATCACGAGAATATTAGTTAATTACCATAAACTTGTGCTTTGTAATATCATGTAATATATACATGTAAAACTAAGTCAGAGTTACCTTTACGCACACACTCTATAATAATAGTCACTCTCGATATTGGACTACCGACGACAGGTGTCACTTTCCCCCGGGCGTAGATGGACGGTGCCGTTACGTGGCAGCACTAGTCACTTCGTACGCTTCAAAGTCCAAATCTTCCACAGAAAGATTCCAGTCATACTTCCGTGCTAGACATGGCCTTATTTCCCTAACCCTAACCCTGACCCTAATCCTAACACTAGTGCTGCCACATCACGTGACCGTCCATCTACGCCGGGGGAAAGTTAATCCCACCGACGACTGCTACTGATTTCTCTAGCAAAATGGTAGCTCTAGAACTATAGCCCTCCGCTCCGCCGGAGGGCTATAGAACATACTATGGAAATTTCCAAGGAGTAAGCGGGCACAATGTATTTCCAAGTGGAAGGGGTGGGCGGGTTGCACGCGGTTGCAAACCGCCATTTTTCATGCGCAGCGCTAGCGCCGTTTCCAACCGCGTGCAACCTGCCCACCCCTCCACTTGGAAATACATTGTGCCCGCTCACTAGCGAAAATGGCAGTTACAAGTTGTTAAACAATCTTAGTCGAAAAGTAATATAGCAAGTACAACATTTAAGCGTTAGTTTGCAGTTTAATTTTAGTGTTTGTAGTAACTTAAGACATTTGTGCGAAAGAGAATGTGCTTTATTTGGTATACCGAAGAAGTTATTAACCGCAAAAAAGTTGTCTTTGCTTACTCCCTGGAAATTGCCATAGTATGTTCTATAGCCCTGCGGCGGAGAGGAGGGCTATAGTTCTAAAGCTAGCAAAATGGTAGCCCGACCAGGCTGTGCGACGGATTGTCTATACAGCCTGACACCCTTCCATACAAAAAGCTCGGTTACGAACAGATTACTCGGTTAGAGTTTTTATAACAAGTGAACACTGTTCACGTTCCAAATGTCTGCCCTCTGTGTCCCCCACTAAAATTGCGGACTGTTCGCTGGCAGCTATGGATTCGTGCGCTGGCCTATGCATTCGGCGCACGGATCCATAGCTGCCAGCGCTGCATACTGTCGTAGGACGTTCCCGCGGTCGCGTGCGCCTTGCCGCGCGAAAGATCTGCGCTTAGCGCTTTGGATTAACACCTCCTTTCGGCAACGCTTCTCTAGTATCCCGTCTCATCTGGATGAATAACTCTGTATATCACAAATAAAACTATTCTATTACCACCTTTGACTTGCCTTGTTTGAAATATCAACGTTAACTCACAGTTGTCCTGAGCACTTCTAAACTAGAATGTATCTCTTAATTCATGGTATAATCTGCTAATTCTCACAGCATATCAACTTTCCAACCAGCTTTACCCGTCATGTTTACACTGCGCATGAGTCAATGGAAGAGAGACACAGAAAACCCGAAACGGAAAAGACTCGCTAGAAAATACTACAGAAATAGTACAATAGCTGCACGATGGCTCTCACACCAAAGCAAGTGAAACGATGTTCACAAATGTGTGGGCAATTTGTAAAAACCTTAGATGACATATGTTCTCGGATGTAGGGGTGGTTTACATGAGAACCGCAGATCGTTTAATTTCCCTTGTTCGATCCATTGCGGATTTTAGTCACAGTCTGAATGATAGTAAACATGGTGGCAAATTCATAAATTTTGTTGCATTCGTCTCAAAAAGTCGCTGTAACCCCGTAAGTACCCAGCGCATCGTAGTACTAGGTTACAAGAAGGTGGATGTATACCGATTCATTTGGTATATCACATGTGAAGTGTTCTTTGGCGATACTTGGCAAATAAGACAACTACGTGTTTAGCCGAAGCCAATGTTTGAAACGGTATTCTAACCCTAGCAATACCGTTTATTGAAGCTAGCAGGAGCGTATAATGACAAAGGAGTAAGAGAAGCGATTTGGTACTGATTTCACTACATTTTTGTCGTACGAGTTCGATGTGAATAAAAATACAAATGTATACAAACATGAGCTTCTTTTGTTCACTGGTCCTTATTCTATCTTCCGGTAGTATTACAAACCGCGTATAGCTTCCTTCGTTTTGACATAAATCATACTTTTGCACGACATGGTTTTCACGTTATTTACCGTCCGCTGGCGAGGACACTCTAAATTTGCACGCACAGCTCGTCATAGCCATACCACACGCCATACATACCATACCATACACCTGTCGCATAGACATAGTCATACCATGATACCACACGCCTGTCGCATGTTGCACGCCTGTTGGTGTTGCACTGTCATGGGACATAGCAATTAGCACACATCCCGCATGTCACAATCACAATGTCGATGACACATACCAGTGATTACCACATACCACACGCATGTGTAGTACTACTGTATGCCTTTGCGGTCAGTCAGCAATTCATTCATTGCATTATTGATAAGATCTGAATTGACAAAAGACAAATCAATAAGAATATCAACTACAATCTAGTAGTAACATAAAATGATAAACATTACAAAATTTTACACAAACCTTCAAGTGTACACAACCTATCGTAACACAAAGACGAGCTGTCATTGGTCGGGTTCGCACACGTCAGATATTTCGCACGACACCGTCTGTCTAGTGGCGCCGCCTCGTGTTAATTATTTATATCTGCTAGAAGTGTCTGCAGAAGTGACAACTCTGGTGACAATCTGCTAGAATGGTGTTTTGCTCTGATATCAGTGAGAACTTTAAATTATAATTATGAAAGTTCTATTCGGAACGATTTTTAGGAAAACTGAATTACATTTAAGAA